TATGAAATCGGTTTAACTAGAAGTGGTTTGACCACGTTTTCGCAACTTTATCGTATTGTCAAGGCCACGGATTAACTCATCTTGTCCGGTATCCTCTGCCATAGTAGTTGCAACACTTTACCGAGTTGGTATGTCTGAGCAAATACCAAGTCCACTGTACCACGCCCTGACGATAAGGCCAGGAGGCTAGAACGGCATCAAATTTCATTTATAGAATGAAAGAAGACAGCAACAAAATGGAGGCCATTCCATCTTGGCGTTCAAGCCGGGGTGGATATTCCATAAGTTTTACTCAAACTTGCCTCTCAAATGGGTTTCCTCACTCAAGATGGACTGTAATTTCGATTCACACGGGATTGAGAGCCTGACAATCCGTATCATGACAACACAGTATCACTCCGCTACATATTCAAGAACGATATTAGATCGCAGGGCTGATGTAATTTTGACTTCGAGCTAAAGCTGATGATAAAGATATTCGAAGGTCGATCTCACCAGAAGACTTGCTGACTTGAATATCGTTGTAAGAATGTCATGTGACGGACGAAATCTTGTTACGTTTTCACCAGACTCGAGGAAGATTGCCTCGGGGATGTTACAGTAAAGCCAAACGACAATTGGCCGATAAGACTTGCCGACATCTCCTCTTGAATTTGACCTTTGAATCTATTCACCACAAACTTTCACGCGAAATGTAATGAGCTTAACAATTATGAACCAAACGATTCCTCGAACCTCAACTTTTCTTAGCATATACTATGTAGGTATACATGGAATGTGTAAACTAGAGGTGTTATCGAACTGGGATGAAACAGTTGCAATAGCCTTCATTTCAAGTGAAAACATGCGAAGAAGAGATTCCTAGGTTGATCCCATCAGAAGACGACGGTGGCTACTTTTTGCCATACAGCAATTTGACACAACGGAGAAGGTTAGTTTGACGCAGTCTATGGGAAGGCCTTCTTCGGTTTTAAAGGAATGGGCTTAATGTGCTTTTAAGTCATTACCTTTGGGCAGGCCTATTCAAAGCTGGAGATCATACCTAAAGAACAAGAATATCCTATTCCTCCTTGCACCAATAGCTTTAGGGAACCGAATGATTTAGTTAGTTCATTATCATGACAATCTTTGCGTTTGCCTTTTTGTTTATGTGTATGTGTCCGTATATGTATTTGAATACTTCTGGGTACTAAACCACTGAGTCGATATCCAAAAAAGTAGATTCTAGCCTGATGGACATACGTGTAGAACTGGTTTCTGTACTATTAGTGGATATTTAATAAAAATTGCCTCTAGCCTAGGAAACGTAAGCAAAAATACACTTAATCATAAAAGCCTCTATCCTTTCAATCAGCTGTTTTGTGAGTACGTATTGCAGGCAAGAAGGAGCCGGTTGATATTTCTGATTTGATGGCCCCTGAGAAAGGAGGTAAAGTCTTGACTATATCTGTCGAGTGGTATGACAGAGGGATGACGTTTCGTAGACCTTGACAACATGAACGTCATAATGGTACCAAACAACTGCAGGCTATCTTCGCATGAGAGGACTTATGAATCCATTCAATAGGCATTTTCGCACGAAATGAATTTCACTACAACCCTCTCTTTGATATCGGCTATCAGTATTCCTGCTGAGGAGATGGGCTAAAAAGAAGTCTTTTTGTAGCATCCAACGGACCCAGGGTTGACCTGCCTGGTTAGCGATGTGTCTGCATCTGAACCAGTAATTATGCAGTAAAAATTCCACTAGAGCGCGTTATGAGATGACGAGTCTTGAAGCTTTAAGTTGCAGTCCATTCTGGATGATATCACCCGTTTGGCACGCATGGAGTCATAGATTGCAGAACATCATAATGCTAGTCCTCCAGTGGAAGCATACAAATATGGTGCTAACTGAAATCATATCTGAATGACGTCTGCCATTGCGAAGCATACAACCTGAGTCAGCCCAAGTTGTTTAAGAAGAGTTGATGATTGTTTGGGACTTTTTCCCAAAATGCAAAAATTGGCGTCACGATGCCAATAAGGGGAGATTTCGAAACCGAGTGGCACAGGTGAAATAGCGGTACAATGCCACTTGGCCACGCAGCTTCGAATCATGTTGGTGACTGAAGTTTTTGTACAAGTATTACCGATTGTCCTGGACAATACCCATTTTTCGTAGATTTCATATAATCTGTAGACACAAGATATCTTTGTCAAGTATCCTGTCTGTTGGTGCTCGCGTATGTTCCTACAAGCTAGGTGCTTTAGCTCACGAAAGGCAGGACAAGATCCGAGAGGCCTCATTAGATCATACAAGGACATGTGAATTCACTTGGTCTGTCTCCGGAGCGCCAGCCCCTTAAGCCGATCAAGCTCCTCTATCGCCGAGAGTATGCGAGCCGGGCAGTTTGCCAGTAAGGAGGTGCTTGCGTGTGTGTTTGTGTTTGTGTGTAATGTATGTGGCAATGGGAAGGGGGGCTGGGATATGTATGCAGCGAGGCGGATATCACAGCCCCCGCCTCGACTGGGTGGGCCGCCGCGTCGGGTAAGGTCACCCTGAACGACTCTGCCCTCAATCGCTTCCAGTCTCTGATGCCTTTAAAGCCCATACATCTTTCACCTCATCCGGCCTCTTTGGCTGCTGTTATTCTCGGCTAGTCGTCTCCTTAGTTGTCCTCTTTCTACGCTTCTTCTATGTTAACTAATGCTGCTGCTGCTGTTCTCGCTCCCTTGGCTTCCGCTACCATCATCTCTATCAGGTTCTTGAAACTTTTGCTCATCCAACTTTTTATTATTTTTTGTCCTCAGCCCAGCCCAGCTCAGGTCTGCCTCTGCCTTTCAGGCTGCCCGTTTTTCCTGCGCCTCCTCCTGCCTCGGGCTCTGTCACTTTCTGCCCAGGCAAAAAGTGACTCCCGGAAGCAGGCATGCCTCTTCGAGTTTGGTCTTGAAGACCAGACAACCTGGGGTGAAGTGAGGCTAGCCCAGGCCTTTTTCTATCTTTGTCGATGCTTCTGCTGAAGGAGCGCACGTGTGTATGTGTGTTTGTGCGCAGGTATGCCTGTATGCTGTAGGCAGCCAAGCGTGGCCTCGGCAGCCTCGAGTCTTGGGGCTTTTGCAACGTCGAGCCAACCAACACAAGTGACAACAATGCAGGAGCATTTCGACCACAGCCCAGAGACACCCCGGAGACCCGGGAGCATATTCACATGTACGACCGCACTTGGATGTGGATGCCTTCATACCTCTTTCCCTCGTTGGTGGGGTTTGTGTGTGTGAGCGCAGATGGACGTGGCAATGCTCAGCTGGCAGTTGTGCAAGCGAGGTGGAGGTGCCTGAGGAGGCAAGAGGCAGAGGCGAGGGGGCTGAGTGGCGAGCGAAGTACTTTAAAGTGTGTGCGTGTTTGTGCGTGTGTTTTGGCTTCCGTTCAGCCCGTATACAAGGCGTGTACTGTTCTGGGATTAGGCTGAGTTTGTTGCTGAGGCTCACCGGCCGGAACACGCTATGTCAGAATGGTGGGATAAGAGGCTGGGGTTGGCTCAAATCGAGTCAAGTGGGTACGAGAGAAGAGGATTGAAGGGTAGCAAGAGACGAAGATGATATGAGTGGTGGGCAGACGATAGTGATCGATGCCAGGCTTAAGCCATCGAAACTAGCGGGCGGTTGTCACCACCCCAACAAAAGGGGTTATAGTGACAAGAACACTTTTGAACAGCATGGAACGATCTTTATTCTTGAGCAGAGCATAGACCTAACAGACCCGCTACCTCATTCGTAAAGCAGTTGCCCCTTGAAGATCTTGATAAGTGTGCTCGAGTTGCTTGCCTAAATGTAAATGATGATACTAATCGCTTCAAAACAACCATCCAAGGGTTAATCTGATTCTTAAAGGAGCCTTTGTGTTTAAAAGTCCACACATAGAAATAAAAGTAGTATCTGAGACTATAAGTTAGGCTTCGAGGAATCTCTTGATGAGCTCCCTCTGATTTCGAGTTAAAGTGTGTTTGGTAATGAAACTTGAAAATGGACCCCACCAAAAGACAGCAGATTCCTCTTGGCCAACTGCAGACGTCATAAGAGGAGGATTTTACGCTTAAAACCAATTTCATGTTGACGAGTCAATACAACTTGCAGGCTTTTCCATAAATACTGTATATATTTATTTACCCTAAATTTATTCATTTTGATGTGGGCTAAAG